CATCGGACGAAAAGTTTTGTCCGATAATCGTAAGGTGTATGGACACCTTTAGAAACGCAAAGACTGCTGTGAATGTAAATGCTATTGATAGATGACATCATATACAGTATGTAATTTTTGTTGTTTTGCCCATAGCTCTACTTCAACATTTTCCAGATAAGACACAGCGTCATGATCTGTACATAGCAGGTGACTGTAAATGCTCAAAGGATCTGTGAAAACCAATTGCTGATTGGCTGCTATGAATGCATTGTGGTGTTGGAAACCCAAGCATTGACAGTTAATTGCTGAATGACTGTTAGACCTTAGGGCTTGTTCACAACAAATGCAGAGCAGATCTGCATGGGTTTCTGCACACGCAGTGCAGTGGGTTGTGCCACGTTATTGATGTGTTCCGGGCCGTTTTTGGTAAAAAAAAAAAAGGGCTTTCATTGCGTTCCAGGGCGCTTGCATGCGTTCCAGAGCAAGTAAAATAGGGCTTGCTGCAGTTTTTTTTTACATGCTCTGAAACTGAACGCTGCGGTGTGAACTAGAGCTCATAATACCATTGGAATACATTGGACGCAGTTTTGATCCGGTCTGTAACTGCTCTGCTCCTGGAACGCGCTTGGTGTGAACAAAGCCTTAGAAGTCTTGTGATGTCACCAACTGTTAAAAGCAGATGTTTGGAAGGACGTCTCTGAAGTTGGAGAACACTCTTTGCTTTCTCTTAAGAAAGTGCTTCTTTGGATTGTGTATTTTATACCTGATCTTTAGCTTATTCATACCAGTGTTGATGCTACACATTCAGGAAAGATTTCTACATGTTACTATATTATCCCTATACAGTGATACCTCGGTTCACGAACGCTTCTGTTCGCGAACAATTCGGTTCGCAAAAAGGAAGTTCTGCAAATATTTGCCTCCCTCCGTTCGTGAACTCGGCTTTGGGTGACTAACACAACCGCAGCCATTTTCCCTGCTCTGACACGTTCATGGCTTCCTCTAGTTGAGATCACGGTGTGATCACAGTTTGATTTGGTTCTGGTCACGTTCGTGACCAGAATCGCGGTACAAATTAAGTTTGTGAACCGGGGTACCACTGTACATCTAGAGTGTTTTATGACCCTTCATTGTAAACAGTGTTTTAGTAAGGCTTCACCATCATTATGGCAGCACCAAAATCACACAGCAACACACCAGGATAAGGAGACCTGTTTTCAAAAACATGATCGTTATTTTCAGCTAAGATCTGAGATTTGTAAATAAGAGTCACATGACTAAAATAATAATTCTTACTCTTTTGTTCAAGATTTGGGAACGGAGTATTTTGTGTCACACATCATTTGATCTGCTATTTTTTACTGGTTATCCCCAAATTCAGATTATGTGTGTTGGAAATGTAAATCTCTGTTCCCCACATGATACCATTCTGGGTAAAGACATGGACCGCTCTTCTACTGCACAGAAAGCAGGCGCATACATATTGGTGAAAAGTTGAAATTTCATAAGCTCCTCGTTTATCTAAAAATACAAAAAGCCACGCTAAAGATTTATTCATTTTTCTTTTACAAGGTGTAAAGTAACATTAATAATCATGTCTGTCTTCTCTCCACAGGATGTATATACAACTGATAGTTGTGTTAGTGCAGCTGTGCTCACGAATGGCAGTCATTCCGAATGTGCAGATTACATCCAAGAATGTCACCACTCGGATGATTGAAAGGGCCGAGGAGTTGGAGAAAATGGAGGTTGACCCTGAGACAATGTTTAATAACATTGAAACTTCACCTCCAGACCCACTCCTCATAATCACCATGCTGCCACCACTAGAACCGGCCCTGACATGCACCCTGCTGGAAACACCAGAACCAGCCCTGACATACAATCTGCTGGAAACACCAGAACCGGCCCTGACATGCACCCCGCTGGAAACACCAGAACCGGCCCTGACATGCACCCCGCTGGAAACACCAGAACCGGCCCTGACATGCACCCCGCTGGAAACACCAGAACCGGCCCTGACATGCACCCCGCTGGAAACACCAGAACCGGCCCTGACATGCACCCCGCTGGAAACACCAGAACCGGCCCTGACATGCACCCCGCTGGAAACACCAGAACCGGCCCTGACATGCACCCCGCTGGAAACACCAGAACCGGCCCTGACATGCACCCCGCTGGAAACACCAGAACCGGCCCTGACATGCACCCCGCTGGAAACACCAGAACCGGCCCTGACATGCACCCCGCTGGAAACACCAGAACCGGCCCTGACATGCACCCCGCTGGAAACACCAGAACCGGCCCTGACATGCACCCCGCTGGAAACACCAGAACCGGCCCTGACATGCACCCCGCTGGAAACACCAGAACCGGCCCTGACATGCACCCCGCTGGAAACACCAGAACCGGCCCTGACATGCACCCCGCTGGAAACACCAGAACCGGCCCTGACATGCACCCCGCTGGAAACACCAGAACCGGCCCTGACATGCACCCCGCTGGAAACACCAGAACCGGCCCTGACATGCAGCCTGCTGGAAACACCAGAACCGGCCCTGACATGCAGCCTACTGGAAACACCAGAACCAGCCCTGACATGCACCCTTCTGGAAACACCACAACCAGCCCTGACATGCAGCCTGCTGGAAACACCAGAACCAGCCCTGACATGCAGCCTGCTGGAAACACCAGAACCAGCCCTGACATGCAGCCTGCTGGAAACACCAGAACCGGCCCTGACATGCAGCCTGCTGGAAACACCAGAACCGCCCCTGACATGCAGCCTGCTGGAAACACCAGAACCAGCCCTGACATGCAGCCTGCTGGAAACACCAGAACCAGCCCTGACATGCAGCCTGCTGGAAACACCAGAACCGGCCCTGACATGCAGCCTGCTGGAAACAGCAGAACCGCCCCTGACATGCAGCCTGCTGGAAACACCAGAACCAGCCCTGACATGCAGCCTGCTGGCACCACCACAGGCTGCCCTGACATGGATCCTCCTGGCACCGCCAGAACCCGCTCTGCTTGGCATGTTTGCCATAATTTTTCTATTCTTCAAGCTGGCTAACATCTTTCATTAATTTTGGCTGGACCAAGCGGCGTACCAGGAAAATGGCCACACGCAAGCGAAGTTAGTAGTTATTTTAGCATACAAACATTTTTTTCCGTCTCGTCAATATGTACAGATATGTGTATACAGTTTCAGCTCTGAACATTGGTTCCCATGTCCTATTGCATCCAGCAGGGAAGAAAAAAAGGTCCTCTAGCATAGGAGAATCATCAAATCAAGCTTTTGAACCGTCGTTGCCAGCTATTCAGCAACATGATGAGTTCAAGTCCTTGGACAAAAATGTAAAGGAATACTTTGCTAATCAAGGTATATTTGTTTCATCTGGATTCAGATTAAAAAAAATGATGATTAGAAGGTTAAAGAATTCCGGGCACATTAAAACATAACCCTTGCACTGGGACTACCCCCACACTGCAAGGGTTAAAAGAACTATGGGGTAACCTTTTTATCCCATAGTTCTCTTTAGGGTCAGGGAAGAACATATACCAACTTACTCCTGTGACCCAAAGCTCAGTATATAGTGGACTATAGCTCGCTATATACTGAGAGCGCCACAGCCAGGACGGATCCCGACAATACAGTTGAGATCCACCCAGCTGGCTGATTGACAGCGGGCTCTGCCTATCTAAAGGCAGAGACAGCTGTGCCTGCCCCTTCCCCACTCAGCACTGGAGGATCCGAGAGGAGAAATCCCTGCGGGGAGCGGTGACTGCCAGTCACCACTCTCAGCAGGGAGATGATCGGGAGGTGAACGAGCGACGGTATGTGTTCACTCACTTTTTCCAATCAATAGAGCCGACCTGTGACAGTTTCAATGTCACACGTCAGCTCGAACTATGAGGATGAGTGGAAATCACTCACCTCATAGTTCTCCTTTAAGTCCTCATTTTGGCCTAGGGTCTAAAATAACAAAGTAACCTGATCCCCAGTCCCATCTGGAGCTAGACCAATCCCTGCAGCCTCTCTACCCCTCTGCTCCAGCAGTAAAATGTCCTCCGACATCCTGCATTAGACGGGATGACTCACAGGTCATTAGGCTGCCCCACTGTCAGAGGGCATTACATTGCGGCAGCCATGGCAACTAGTGATGGCCTCGGGCGTGTTCGCAGCTCCACGTGCCGAGCCCGCCAGGAAGCTGACAGCGCCAATCACAGGCACGGAGACATTTCACGATCTCTGCAGCTGCGGACCGTGATAATGTCTCAGTACCTGCGATTGGCGCTGCCAGTTTCCTGGCGGGCTCGGCACGTGGAGCTGCGAACACGCCCGAGCCCATCACTAATGCCAACACACCATGCCCTAGTAGAATTTGGGCATGCAACATAAAAGGTTAACGCAGTGCACATGCTACAACACATGCCCCCCTGTCCTTATTGTACTGGTGTCAATGCGCCATTAGGAATGAATAACTGCGCAATACATTGCATAAAATGGTGCGCTTTTCACTATTGCTCAGTAAAACGCACCATTTCACAGCACGCTAATACAACACAAGTGTATGAAGGTGACCTAAAGCTTTGTAAATGGAGCCCTTTATGCTATAATGTTTTCCAAGACAGGAAGTTGTGAGGAATGGGTTACATGTGTCAGCATCATGAGGTAACAGACACAATAACAGTTACCATATCTCCCCAGAGTTACATGCAGCACAGGCTCCCTCACTTCTCCTATAGGCAGAACCCTAAAACTAATCGTAACCAATAGTAACAGCACACAAGGAAGCACAAAATGGAGTCAGGCCTTCCCCGATCTGCTCACACTCCACTCTTCCAAGCAACGCGAGACTTGCCGGAGCCGCTTTCACTAACTACGCATGCGTCGGAAACCATCCTGCCGCCGCTGTCGACGTGACTATTGTGCGCAGGCGTCGCTCTCCGCCGTCGTACACCTGAACCTTTCCCAAGCCGCCAAATCTCGCGTTGCCCGGCCACTAGTGAGCTACGCGAGATTTGTCGGCGCAGGCGCAGTGAGCAGGATGAGTCTTGGAGAAGTGCTGGTACTTAGTACCCTTGAGTGCCGGCAGAGGAAAAGCCTTGTTTTGATGGCTTTAAAAGTTTCGTGCTGCAGCCTGTGATTGCTGCTCGAGCTTATGAGCCGCGGCTTGGAGGCCAGATCCCCCCGCGGGGCCAGCGCACGGTGCCGGGGCTCTCACATTTAGCTGGAGATAAAGTATCATGCGAGTTAAGTGAGGTGAGAGCTATCCCAGAGGAGCCCAATGAGTGGAATACAGTCTGCGGCCTCGGACAGGTGAGTGCAGCCTGGACATGGCATGGACACTTTGTACTGACAGGGAGACAAGCTGGAATCCAGGCTGATCTAAAATACACAGATTAGATCTGAGCTCCAGGAAACAGCCAATCACACAGAAGTACATATAGGGGGGCTATTGGTTTATCTGCCAAAGAACCTGTATATGTGTCCATCCGATCCTGAGATTTACACAGCTCTGATGCACAGCACATCCCATACCTGGCCGGCTGGGGAGACCTGATTTGTCTTCTGTTGCAGTTAAGTAACATTTACAGGTCTTGTCCCTCCTCCAGCATGTGATTGGGCAATGATAGGAGAAGCAGTAGACCGATGAGCTCATCTCTCCTGTCACTTTTCTCTTTCCTGCTATCAGCACCACCTCCAGTGCTGCTGCTCAACTGATTGGCTTATTGTGCAGCTCCTACCTTCCCCAGTCTGAGCTCTGCTGTACAGGGACTGCAGGAGGCTAATGCCAAGTCACATTCTGGTACTTACACCTCTGCCATTGCAAACAATACACTTAATGGTGTATTGATAAATCCAAAGCTGCATTCATTTGTGTACTTTACACCTGCCTGGAGTTCAGATTTCTTGCAGCAAGGTATTCATTAATCATTGCATCCACCTTCAGCTTTGGAAGTACCTGAATTTAACTTTGCTCTTGTGACCTCCCTGTACAGCAGAGCTCAGACATCAAGATGGAGGACAGGACTGGGAGCCAAGCAGGTGTGCTGAATGCAAATGTGCTGCCAAGAGTTATGACAGCAGGAGAGAGCAGAGGGATGACTTCATCAGTCTCCTGTTCTGCCATAGTTCAGTCAGCAGGCTGGGGGTGGAGATGGGATAACGGGGGGCAACAAAATAACGCTTGCAGTGGGGATTCCCCCGTTGGGGTTCAATGGCTGCTTCATCTACGGGGAACAGAAAATAATGACTATACTTGACCTTATTCTTCATCCTCTGGCTGCCAGCTCTCTTCTCTTTGATTGGGCCGGCTGTGCAGCTGGTGAGGGATCGGGTAAGTATAGTTTCTGTTTGTCTCCTCCCCCTTGTCAAAATGAGCATTTAACCCTTGCAGTGGGGGTGGACCCCACCGTGAGAGTCATTTTCTATTTTCCCGCAGAAGAGTAGGGGTAGGGGAAGGGGGGGGATGGGAATTCCACTATGCCCAGGTAGACTGCACATCATGGCAGACTGCCCCCCCCCCCCCCTCTCTAGATCTGACAGGGTCACCCTCTCTGCCCCCCCCTCCCATCTCCCATCCAGTGCCCCCTTCTTCAGCCTCTGGCCGACCACTGATAATGTAACGTCATTACATTTGTGCCAGAGTGACATTATCCCGACACTTGCTGCATCAATGGCATGTTACAAATGCTGAAAGTGGACAGAGAGTGTGTGCTGTGCATGGAATGCAGGCGGTGCACACTAACACAACATTGCTAGACAAAAGGGAAAGTGGTATTGGGCAGGAGAGACCTACAAAGGATCTTCTACTGAAACACTCTACCAAACTCCCGCAAATTTCTTTTCAACTTGAGTTCTGCTTTAACTGTGAGTGGTGTCATCCACCTGGCTGTAATGTCTGGCAGGGCTGTGTAAACATCGGGACTGGATGGACAGAAATACAAATCCTTTGACAGCTCCCTTAGGCCTTTTGCACATGGGCGCCTGAAGGTGTATAATGTTACTTGCAGGTGTATTTTGGCACCCGGGATAGGCAGCTGCCCATAGTAATCAATGGTTGTAGGCTGTTAATACAGCAGGGGTGGGAACTCCGGCCCTCCAGCTGTTGTGAAACTACAAATCCCATGAGGCATTGCAAGTGTAAGGTTGCACATGCAAATGAGTATGCAACCCTGGACACAGGCAGTGTGCATCCAGGAACCTACGGCTTTACGAATGCGCAAGTTTCAGCAAGTAACGGCTATATCCATATACAGCCACCTACAGCCAGCCATTCATTACTATGGGCGGCAGTACGCGGCAGCTGTGTATCCCAGGTGTGGTAATGTGCCCAGTTTCCATTATACAGTCTCGTGAGCCCATGTTCCTGCGGCTACATATGTATTACATATGTGTGTTCAGCTGTGTACCTGGAGTTCAGCTTCATAAAACCCAGCCCATGGTCTGGTTGTGTAGCATGGACCTGCCTGGCTAGGTAAAGTCTGATGGTGGGATGGGCTTTCTGACCCACTGAGAATATGTCTGCTGGTGTGCATCATCATGGTTAGTAATAGCCCATCATTGTATTTATTGCTTCCCTTCTAGATAGACCTTTCATTGCACTGGTGGTATAAGTACCTGAAAGGAGAAGTAGAACAAAGAGCCAATCAGTTGTGGTGCAGTGTAAGGTGCATGCTGATCGAAGGAGAGAGCAGAGTGCCAGAGAGATGACAAGCTCACCAGTGTGCTGTTTCTACTGTTACTTTTCAGTCACAGGCTGGGGGAGGGACAAGACCTGTAAGTGTTATTAAAGTGCAGCAGAGAAAAATCAGGTCTTCGGCCCTTCTAGATAGGGCTGTTTTGTACTCTCTCAGGGCTGTGTAAATCTCCGAACTGGATGAACAGAAATATAAATCCTTTGGCTTCCTTATATGTACTTCATCTGTGTTATTAGCTGTTTGCTTGCAGTCCGGCTTTTCCAAATATCTTTCTGTGTGTTCTATTGTTCTCCAGGCATTCGTTTGATGTACAGTATGCTTTGAAAGCTTCTTCTTTGTGGATCCCCCCCCCCTCCAGTGCAAGGGTTAACTGATCACTTATGTCTGTGGGTATGGTAAATAGACCTTTTACTTACATGAGCTCTGCTCCCCCCGGCATTTGGCTTTCCCCGATTACCCGACTGATGGACTGTCCTTGGCACCCATCAGTGTATAATGTGGGGGCTATGGGCCCAGCCAGAGGACATCCGACTGCCGCAGTGGAACAGGGGTGTTGGGGAGGCTACAGGTTCCAGTCTTAGAGCCAGCGATAGAGGGGATCAGGTAAGAAAGTCCATTAAAAAGGTCCCCTAGGCAAAGAAAAGAGCGGTACGGGGGGTAGCTCCACTGCAAGGGGAAGTGGTGCAAAAGAATGAAAGCAAACAATGTAACTATTAGAAGCCAGTCTAACTAATATGTTTCCTTCACTGGCTAGAGTGATCGCTAAAACACAGACGGGGGATATGAGTAAGTGCCTAAGGGCTAGTTCACACCGATCGCGGTGCAGAGCAGTGACAGAACGGATCAAAACTGCATCCAACGTATTCCAACGGTATTTTGGACTCCAGTTCACATTGCAGCGTTCAGTTCCAGAGCATGTAAAAAAAAAAACTGCGGCAAAACGCACTGCGTGTGCAGAGGCTCGTGCAGATCTGGTCGGTATTTGGTGTGAACAAGCCCTGAGTGCTGCAGGTTGGGCACCTGGGTTCCAATTATCTCTCCAAAACTGAAAGGCAAAAAAAGGTTTTGGCTGGAGTTACATTGTAACGTTTTGAAACATTTTAGACCCCCACACTTCTTTTTATGCCATATCCATCCCTCTGAACCTATAAGAAATGAGCATCATTTTCAGCACTGGAGTACAGGCTGGGGCTCGCAAACATAACTATACACTAGTTCATATCTTTTGTATTCTGTGTACTAATGATTGTTGGTGTGCAAAATATAAGGTTCACACTTGAGTCTTGGCCTCCTCGGTCGTTTTTGGTGCATTTGTTAAGTGCGTTTGTACGTGTTTTTACACATGTGTGTTTTTGTTTAGGCCAATGGAAAGCAGGTTACTAGGAGGAGGGGACAGTTGTTGGGAATGGAACTGTGCAAAAAAACACCTGTTACTTGCATTGTGTGGACACCGCAATTGTAGTGTGGGAGGAAAACCACGCAGACCTGCTCCAAACAATCTCCTGTACTTCTTTGGCGTTAGAAGCGTCAGCACATCACTCATTTGTGAAGGGGCCCATAAAATAAAATGGAAATGTCATTGTTGAGAGCTGCCATGCTTGTGGAAATAGTTGACAAATCACTCGGGTGTAAATGAGGCCTCAGCCCTTCGTATTATATGGAGCGCTTGTTATGTTAACAAAGTAAAGTGTTGGCCTTTTTACTGATGTTATTTCTTGTAGCAATTGCAGCATTTATGTTTACTTTGTGGAGTCATAATATAATATTGCATAATTGTTGTTATAGTTTGTTCTTTTATGTGCATGGAATTATTGCCGGAAGAGATCGGATCATAAACTACCGCTTGTTGTTCTCTTGTGCTTCTTTCTTTTCTACATGGGCTGATTACAGCAGTGTGTTACTGGCATAGGATGTAAAGAGTATGGGCAATTTTGGGTCTGATTTCTGCATGACATAAAATTGGTGCTGCACTCGCCTTCATTGTGTGGTTTCATCTTCTGTGCAGAAATATTACCTCTATCATACATACATACATACATACATACATACATACATACATACATACATCTGGGCTGCTAGGATCTATTGTATATACAATAGATCCCAGCACACATGTATGTACAATAGCCCGCAGGTATCTCTGTGGCTGTGTCCAGGTACTCACAGAACTCTACAATGTAGAGTGACATGGCACACCCTTCCAACGCTCCCCAGTCTCCGGCCTGTCCAACGCCGGATCCATCATACCGCCGCCCAGCCCGAATCCTTGACCGCGACCATCCGCAGGAAGCTTCGGCTGTTGCCACTGACTGCCTCACTGGTTTGGGGGCAGCATTTTGCCGCCAACCTGGAAAGTGCTGCTCGAGGCAAACGCCTTGTTTGCCTCGCGGTAGATACACCCCTGAGTATAGGACCCCACCTCACCCATGTTGTCAAGCTTTGCTTTACCGTCCCCACGCTCCAGCACTTGATCCTCATGAGCTGGAAGTAACATAGACTTCTGGGGGAGCATCAACCTGTGACCCTGGGTTGTCTGGCGAATGATGCAGAGAATAGTGCCCATGTCACGCCATGTAAGTACTATTCTGTGCAGCATTCAGGGTCGCTCTTTGTTGC